CGAGGGTTTTGCAAGCCTACAAGGGTTTAGGGTTTCGTAGGGCTGCGCGGTAGGGTTTAGAGACGCTAGGGTTTAGTAATGCTAGGGCTTTGTAGGGCTAGGGATGAATTATTGGGGTTAGGGTTTAGTAGGCCTAGGGTTTAGTAAGGCTAGGGTTTAGTAGGGCTAGGGTTTAGTAACGCCAGGGTTTAGGGTTAGTAGGGTTTAGGGTTTAGGGGTAGATAAGGTGTCTCCAAGACAAAACCCTAAGACAAACTGCAGAGAGAGACAGAAAGGAGACTGAGCTCTGCTGTCTCTTCAGGTCGTCTAACTAAAAAAACCACAAACAGAAAAATACTGTCCTCCTCGTGCAGCAACAGCAGCTGCTGCTGCAGCTGCTCCTGCTGCAGCTGCTGCTACTGTTGCTGCTGCAGCTGGCAGGCAGCACCGTTGCTAGGACAGACCTCTCGGGCCTCTATCAGCCAGTGCAAACAAAGCAACTGCTGCATGCGTACATAGCAGTGCAGCAGCAGCAGCAGCAGCAACAGCTGCTGCTGCTGCTGCAGCAGAGGTTCTTAGGAAGCGTTTGGGAGGTTGTCGGGAGATGCAGATGTCGGGTCAAGAAGGCATTGTGGCTTGTGTTTGCTGCTGCTGGTGCTGTGTGCTTTGCTGCTGCTGCTGCTGCTGCTCCGGTTGCATAGACAAACCTTTGGAGGCTCTTTCCAGAGTTGGCCAACAGTGTACAGACACCTTACTGCTGCTGCTGCTGCTGCTGCTGCTGCTGCTGCTGCTGCTGCTGTTGCTATTGGTGTGGGCAGGAAGAGACCCTTGCCTCCTAAGAACACACATAAGGCCAAGGAGAGCAGAGACACCTGCAGCAGCAGCTGCAACAGCAGCAGCAACAGCAGCTGCAACAGCAGCTGCAACAGCAGCTGCAACAGCCGCTACGATGGGGTGCAGGTGAAGCGACTATACTAGCCCCACAACTGCCATACAGCAGCAGCAGCAGCAGCAACAGCGGCAGCAGCAACAGCAGCAGCACACGGAGCAGCAGGGAAGCATCTATCAGCGAGGTTAGAGCCTCAGCAGCAGCATCACCATGATCAGCATCAGCATCAGCAGCATAAGGAATAGCAGCAGCAGCACTAGCATTAGCAGCAACAGCAGCAATTTATCTGTTGGTTTGTCTTTAAATAGTATTATTCTTACAACTTGTTTGTTAGGGGTTGCTCGGAGCTATCAGCGTGCCCACAGCGAGGCCCTTATAGGCGGAGGCCCTGGGGCCCCCCGGAGGCGAGGGGTTTAGTATAACAATAGGAAAGTCTTCTCTAAGTGTCTCTGAGAAAGTAAAAGAAGGAGACCCTGCTGCTGCTGCTGCTGTTGTTGTTGCTGTTGCTGCTGCTGCGCCTGATGGGGAAGCTCCTGCGCCCCACACGCTGTCCCCTTCACCTCGCTGCAGCAGAGGTGCAACAGAGTACAGAGGCAGCACTGATTGCTGCTCTTCAGACTGCAGCAGCAAACATAGGAGACACAAAAGGAGACAAAACAGAGACACCTAAACATAAATATACATCCAGACACGAAGGGCTCAGTAGCAATTCCTCGTATGCAGCAACACCATCACCAGCAGCAGCAGCAACAGCAGCACGAGCAGTGCCACGATCAGCAGCAGCAGCACCAGCAGCAAGTGCAGCAGCAGTAAAACCACCACCACCAGCACCCCCCAGCACCTGCAGCAGCAACAGCAGCAGCAGCAACAGCAACAGCAGCAACAGCAGCAGCAGAAGCACCAGCAGCAGCAGCAGCAACTGCAGCAGCAGCAGCAGCAGAAGATGAATACCTGGAGCAGCGTAAAGTAAGGTAGTCCCCTTCGGGGTCTGAATGTAGAAGAGACAACAGCCCACAGCGCCAACTCTAAGACAACGGAGACAGCTTCATTTAAGTCAGGGCGATCAAACAGCCAAAGACAAGCAACAGAAGAGACAGCAGAAAAGATGAAGAAGAGACTGCAGCTAACTGCATGCACACGGAACATCTCCTCCTTCACCTCCAGCGCTGCCTGCAGTTCATTTAAACCCGCTGCCCTCACGAACTCTAGCCGCAGCTGAAAACAAACACGCAGACACCAGCAGCAGCAGCAGCAGCAGCACAAAGGGGAGCAGCAAACCATAAAGACACGCCGCAAGCCAAAAAACAAGAACCCGTGAAGCTGCTGCTCCTGCTAATGCTGCTACTGGCTGCTGCTGCTGCTGCTGCTGTTGCTGTTGCTGCTGCTTCCTGCTGCTGCTGCTGCTGCTGTTGCTGTTCTTCCTGCTGCTGCTGCTGCAGCGTTTGCTGGAGGCTTTTGGGGTGTATGTACAGCTACAGCACTAACCTGAATTTTCTTTATGCAGCTCTTGCATGAGCGCAAAACTACAATAAAAAGCAGCAGCAAAAGGAGGAGATGACTGGGCAGACACTCCAGGGGATCCACTTGGTTTATGCTGCTTAGCACGTACACCGCGCTCACCTGCAGCAGCAGCAGCAGCAGCAGCAGCAGCAGCAGCACAGGTCAGCACAGCATAAACAACAGAAGCCAAGTGCGGGCAGAGAAGCTAGGGTTGTTCTTGTATCGCAACACTGACAGTAATTGCTGCTGCTGCTGCTGCGGTTGCTGCTGTTGCGGCAGGAGACAGAGAAGAGACAGATAAGAGACAGATAAGAGAGAGATAAGAGACTTACAAGCAGGGCGAGGGTAAGGCTTTCTCTGTTGTTTATTGTCTCTCTTGTTAGCAGATACCCCTTGCTTATTAGAAGGAGACAGGCAGCAAAGAAAGTATTGAAGAGGGTTTCACATATAAGAAGAGCAACTGCAACATATTCAGAAGCTGGAGAAGACCAAGAGGGACACTGCAGCAAGAAGACAACCTGAGCAGCAGCAGCAGCAGCTTTAAAAGCTGGCGGCAGCAGCAGCAATCGATGCAGCGCTGTTGCATCTCGTGCTGCTGCTCCTCTACAATCTTGCTGCGCTCTCCACGTAAGGAGACACCACAAAGGTAGAGACAGCAGCGCTACTAGCAGCAGCGGCTGCTGGGCCCCACAGTCTGCTCCCTTAGAAGGGAGGTGATCAACGAGGGCGTATAGTGGATCTGCTCCTGCTGCTGCTGCTGCTGCTGCGCGCTGCTTCACCTGCTGCAGCAGCAAACCATCTGGAAGGGATACTACAGGCATCAAGGGCTTAGGAGCAAAGGCGTTCCCCAGCAGCGGTAAAGCATAGTCGCGAAAGGGGGTATCAGTCAGCAGCAAAGCAGCAACACCCGAGTTGTTTGCTGCTCTTATAAGCTGCAGCAGCTCTTCTTCGCTGCAGCGCCCAAACATCCATATTCTTTTGTTTGTCTCTCCTCCTCGCAGCCTTCCACCTCGCAAAGAAAGACCTTTTAATGTCTCCTTGTCTGTCTCTTCTGCTGCAGCAGCAAATCCTGCTGCTCCTGCTGCTGTTGCTGCGGAAGAAGAGGAGGAAGAGGTAGCCAAATGCTCCTGCTGCTGCTCTTGCTGCTGCTGCTGCTGCTGCTGCTGCAGCTGCTGCTGCCCTAGCAGAGCAGCAGCAGAGACCGATGGGCCCTCTGCTCTTCTTAAGGGGGCCCCATCATTACAAAGAGCACGAAGAAGAAATGAAGAAATAAAAGGAAGCAGCAAACTTAAACTGTCTCTCCGCAGTCTCCTCGTCCGCTGCATAGCCCATCGCCAGCTGTCTCCTTTTGTTGCAGGGCTTGCTGCTGCTGCTTCCGCTTCTGCTTTTGCTGCTGCTGCTACTGCTGCCAAAGCATCAGGCCCCGCACCTCCTGGCTGTATCCCCTCAGCAGCAGCAGCAACAGCAGCAGGAACAGGAGCAGCAGCCCCCGGATCAGTATCAGCAGCAGCAGCAGCAGGGGAGGTCCGTTTGGTAGGTAGCAGTTTTGCTGCTAGGCCTTTAAGTGTCTCTAAAGGAGACAGCTGCAGCAGCTTTGTTCGGAAGTCTAGGTAAGAAAATGCAAGCAGCGTTGGATCTGCTGCAGTGCAGCTGCTGCCTTTATATACGAGTTGACCTACTACCTCTTCTATTGGAGGCCCCCAAGGAGCAAACTCTGCATCTAGAGAGACAGAAAAAGATAATAAGGGGCCCCCTCGAGGAGACACAAACAACACTCTGCTGTTCACTGGTTCAGGCTGCAGCAGCACAACGCCTAGAAAAAGCAGCGGCAGCAGCAGCAGCACCCGAGTGCTGCTACTTCTGCTTCTGCAACTGCTGCTCCTGCTGCACCTGCTGCTGCTGTTGCTTCTGCTGCTGCTGTTGCTGATGCTGCTGAGGCCCTGAAACCCTCTAAAGGGCCTCTTAGATGTTTTACTAAATGCAGCAGAAGCAGCACGGAGAGACGCCTCTGTCGCTGCTGCTGCCTCCATTGCAGCTGCCGAGCAAAGGCCCCGCTGCAGCAGACCCCATGGGCAGAGATGCTGCTGTTAGAACACCAACAGCAGCAGCAGCAGCAACAACAACAACAACAACAACAGCAGCAGCACCCCAGCTGTAAGCCCGCGGGGGACTACAGTAGCGCGAGCAACAATAACAGCAGCAGCAAGAACAGCAGCGGCAACAGCTGCAGCAGCAGGGGCCCCGGCTGAGAGGGCAGAGGCAGCTAGCTGCACAGCTGCGCTAAAGGCCCCCTAAGCTGCAGCAAAGATGAAGATTAAGAGATACAGAAGGTGAAGAAGAAGAAGGCAGCAGAGTTGGGCGTGGCTGTGCTGCTGCTGCAGACTGCGCTCTCGGGTTTGCTGCTAGAGATAAAACACAGAGTTATTATTAGGAGTAATAAAAGGAGAAGAAAAAGAAGAATACAAGAAGAAGAGTACTGCTGTTCCTTCTCAGCTGCTGCTCTCATGTGAGCCGATGGGTCGGCTGCGGCTGGGCAGCAGCAGCAGCAGCAGCAGCAGCAGTAGCAGCAGCAGAGTGCAGCATTGTCTGTGGGTTTTTTGTTTTTTTTCTTGCTAAGTTTATTCTTTTTTTAATATTTTAATCTAATTTAAGCTTATTAATCAGAAGGAAACTCCTTTATACCCCCCTTTAACCCTCAGTAGTAAACATCGAGACCCTAAGGGAAGGGCCGGTAGGCCGCTGGGCATCTAACCAAACCCTAAACCCTAAACCCTAAACCCTA